AAACATTTTTAAAAGCTTTTATACTGAAAGAAAATAAGAAATTGTCTGCCTTTGTGTCGGGAAAGTAGCAGCCTGCTCGAGCCTGGAACTGGAATCGTTTCATCCTCCGAAACGTTTTGTGTGTATTTGGTTAGTTACAGTAATTATAGCCCGTAACTGACAGCCAGAATCACGCAGGAGAAAGTAAGGGGCTGTTTTCTCGCGCGAGGGCCCCACTGCAGAACATCTGCTGAGAGATTTGCATATTAATTAACCCATATTAACTCTAATTATTCTGGGAAATTATCAAATAAATTAAATTTTCTAATTTTAACCTTTCTTTGCTTGATGGATGTCAGAGCAGCAGGAAGTACAGGAAACCTCACCTGGGCCGGGCTTTTTCGGACGGGCCGGACCTTTTGTTTGACATCTCCCTGCCCCCCCAGGCCCAGCCCCCAGTTTGCTCTGTTTTTCTTTCTTTTTTCTTTTCTTTTCTCTCTCTCTCTCTCTCTCTCTCTGCTGCTCGAGTTCTGTGGGCAGCTCTTCTGTTTCTTTCTTTCTTTTTCTTTCTTTCTTTTTTTTTTCCTCTTGGCTCCGGCGCGCCGCACAGGCCCCGGACGCGGTACCATGTGTGAGCGGGGGGCACAGATGGCCGAGCCGTACCGGGCCCAGGAAAGGTGGGCTCTCCGCGGAGGCGGTGGGGAGGGAGCTCAACACCTCCCCCCTTTCCAGCCTGTTGCTCTGGCCAGTGCGAAGAAACGGGACTTTAATTCAATTTGGGGGGGGGGGGGGGGACAGTGGCTGGATGTAACCGTCCATAAAGACCCCACCCCCCCGACCGTCACTCACACACACAGACCCAGACACACATGCTGGGGAGGGGGAGCCGCTTTACACCTCGCTGCATTTTGGCTGTTCGCCTCTGGGAAGCGGCCCCCTTTCTCCCGCGAGGCCTTTGTCCTCCCCCGTCCACCCCGCCACGGTGACCCGGAGGCCAAGCACGCTCCGATACGACAGGGATCCTCCGGAATGTGCAGCAAATGCAAACAGGGAAAGCACCTTGGAAGGCACCAGTGCCACACCGAGCTCAGTCCATGTGGAACAGGCCAGCCCTGTTTTAGGACTCACTCTCTTTCGGCAAGAGTTTTTTTTTTTTGTTTAACAAATTTGTTTTTCTGTCCTCTTACTCTGGCTGTCATGTGATAGAGGCCAGATTGCCCAGGAAACAGCCTATTCAGGGAGCTGAAGGGCTGTGAAAAGAAATTATGACAGTTAAAAGGTCAGCGGTAAACCTTGCAGGAGAGGCACAAGCCAGCGACCTCATTTCAACTTTAATTCTCAGCCCCCGTGCCCCACCCCCACTTCCATCAGGTGACCCCGAACCCGCTCTCATGACACGTGGAGGAGAGCAGCAGGTATACTTATGTAGGGATCTCGTCCACTCTGGTTAGAGAAGTCCACCGTGGATGCCACTCCGAGGCTGGGTATCCCGCTGTGGGAGCAGAGGGAGGTGATGTGGGGCGCGGGGCAGCGCGTCGGCAGGGATTCTGTAAACGGTAACATTCAGGGTACTGCCAGAGGGGGCACGTGCTCATTTATGGCTCTTAAGCCTGCGTGATTCACCGGTTTCTATCTGACTTTGCTACTCGATTCATCGGGAGTTCACACCACCTGTTGCTAAATGAGCCGCTGTCGCAGCTGCTTCGGGCCGCAGGTCAGAAGGGGTGCTGTGGGGTGGGGGCTTCTCCCCCATCAGGTTGCATTTTTCCTGGTCAAGAAGCCCCTTGGTCTCTCTGTGCTGCACCTTACTTGGAGCTTGTGGGCATCCTGGTATCTGCCTGATTCCATCCGCTTTTTAGAAAGCGGGTGACAAATAGTGGTGGTATCCGTCCTCCGAGCACGGGGGGGTCATTACCCGGGACCCCATTTCTCCCTATCACACCCTAAATGATTACGACCGTCTCTCATCTGTCCATCTGTATTTGTCTGCAGCCCAATGTGATCTTATTCTTACCTCCCACTTGCACATCTTCAGTAAGCCCCCAGCCTCAGAAAGATGAGTCACAGTCTTTCGATTCCCCCCCCCCCCCCCCCATGCCAACAGTCATTTTGAAAGGTGCTCATCACCGTAATCAATACAATATACATCGCTAGCAGCTGAACTTGCGCGTGTGGAGGCTGCTGCAATAATTCGAGAGTCACAGAGGGTTAGGTGAAGAGTTTCTAAGCCTAATATTAAGCACGACTCCATCAATTATGAATGTCACTCTAATTATCCGTGGCATTCAAAGAAAGACGATGTCCCTTTTATTTACTTGAGATCCAGAGAAAAAAAGGAGCAAGCGAAATCAAACAGGTAGCATCAGTCAGAAAATGTCAGCAGAAATCGCCTTTGTTATACATGACACTCGCACGAAAGCGGCGGAGAATGGGACGTGTCAGCGAACAAGAACTTAGCCAAGAAGTAAACATTATAATTTCTTTGTCTCTCCCTCCCTGAATGAGCACAAAAGATTGATTAGCGGAGAGGTGAGGGAGAGGAATAATGGTCCTGGTGACATTAGCAGGTTGGAATTATTGCGACGGGAAGCACAAAGCTCCACAGCCCGACATCCGCCGCCAGGATCTGTCACATGTCACTCGAACAAAACGCGCTTTCTCAAGTTTTGCGCCGCCGTGCTCAGCTGAATAAGTCGTACTTCACCACCCCCCGCTCACCCTCCCCCCACCCGCCACCGCAACTCCGTGGCAATTTCAATAACCTGCCGGCAGATCACATTTAAAGTCGCCGCGCCCCCTTTTCACCGGGTCCTTGCACGCTGCCTTTTGTGTGCCGGGTCTCACCCCACCCACGTGGGCCGGGAGTGGGCTGGGGGGGGGGGCTGGCATGGGGGGGTAGCCCGTATCAGGGCCCCTCTTTACTCGAGTGTCACTCGGGCCCCTTGTCTCAGGGGCCGGCGGGGACAACGTGTCGAAGGTCGGGGGCCAAGGGCCATGCAGCTCACAGGACAAGCTGGACACATCCGGGGAATATTCCGGGAATGAAAAAAGAAAAAACTAAAATGACATACATGGAACAAAACACAAGGCCTGAGACTTGATTTCAGGGAGAGTGTCGTAGCCGTTTGAAGGAAGTCATAGTTTAAATGAGCTTGTGACGGTCTGAGCAAGAAGGGAACTTTTCCCTGCCTCTTTACTTCCACTTTTCCTTTCTTCCGTGTCTGTCCGGGTTTGAGGCTCCTCGGATATTATTCGGAATGCCGCCACAGAGGAGCCAGCCTCTGGCCTTTTAAAACCTGTCCACCTCTAGATAAATTAATTCATTCAGTCTGCCAGCTTCGTTGTCCTCACTTTTCATCCTGTGATCAGCTTTTTTGGGCGGTGTTAGTGATGGCGGGTGTGTGTGTGTGTGTGTGTG